CTATATAACACCTGGCGAAGGTAATAAGAGCTGCAGCACAGTACCTTGGAGCTGTATGGTGAACGGCTTGAAGTCCAAGCTGAGAGGGCCTCTCCAGGGATAGGACTCCAAAAGGCCATCCAACACTCCCCTGCACACACAAACACACATGTCCTGTAAAAGCACTGCAACGTGTTATTCCAGGTATTTAAATATTGCTTTTGAGAGGTGCGAAATTCAGCACTACACATTTCAGCTTCATTGGAAGGTTTTACATGGTTTCGAATGTCGGCGGTTGAACCTCCAATCCCTCTCGGGTCCACTTTCTGAATTAAAACAAAAAGTGTGGATGTTTGGTGAGGTTTTACCGTACCTATTCCTTCCTGGATCTCTGAAGCCCTTGGCGAACGGGTTCCTGTCGATCTTCAGTTTTGTGATCTTGCCCGGGAAAGAAGAACATGGGTTAGACTGGACGTGTCAGCCGCTGACATGTTAAGCCAACAATGAGCTCAGCTTTTACAACAGCATGGAGAGTGGCAGGGCTCCCCCCTCTGGGACTGCATCTCCCAGCAGCACCCAGGGCGATCAGCCATGTCAAACAGGGTTCTTGGAGGTCGTACGGTTTTATTTGGTGCTTTTATGGGCTGCGGACTTCAGCAGTGGGCCCGGTCACAGCTTGTTATTGAGTTTCTGTAATAATACGTTCGCTGATCGTAAAATGAGCCCTGATGAAAAGAGCTGGCAGTCCTCGCGGACGCCTTAGTTACTGGAGGAGCCGCGCCCAACAGTGGGGTCAGATCCCCTGCACGGGAACACACGCCCGCTACGAGGAACTGAAAATCAAGACACTGCAACTCAAGATTTAGCTGAGAGCACAGTGTTTTTGAGCTGTAGATTTGGCTCATTGAAGGACACTACAGACACTTTTGGCATGGCCATTGAAATGTGTTGCTTTCTGGCGCGTAAAAGGTGTAGGATGGGATTTTGTAGCATGGTTCTACAGAAACAGAAACAAATTCTGCTGTTTAAAACCAAACATTTCCAATATATCCCATTCTTCTCTGTTTCAGCTGCCGTTTCAAATCCATAGTGTGTGCTACATGTTTGGCTGTTCTATATAGGATACGTTTCAGTGGTTGCTACCTGTTGGTTCTGGTAGGCTGTGACTGTGGTGAACTCCGTTTCAGGGAAGGAGAAGCTGTGCACTCCCTCAGCAGGCAGCGATTGGATCTGCGACAGGTCCATGCGAGGGTCGTGCCTGATGACGTGCACACGTGGCTTGTATTTGTGCATCGACTGGAGAATGATCTGGATTGAGACATAAAATGACACTTTACAGGATGAACCTCTATTATATCACTATCTCTAAGAGGGACAACATTAAAATAGATATATAGGGCTGCAAGGTTCACTTCATTCTTATTTATTTCAAGATTATTTTTTATTAACTAATTAAACTTTTTTTATAAAATGTTTCAGACAATAGTGAAATATATAAAAGACTTGTAAAAAAAAAAACTGCAAAAATAATATGTCTTTAAATTGCTCTTTTGGTTCAAAAATGTGTCCAAATGATTTCCAATTTATGTGAAATAAATTGGAAATCATTTGGACACATTGTTGAATGTGTGAAACATTAGACAGAGAAAATAAACGTATTATCATTGTTGAGAGTCTAGCATCCGAGAGCATTTTGGCTTGATAAATGTCACCATTAAGCTCTATAAAAAAGTAATCCAAATTATATTTAAATGTAATATTGCAATAAAATTATAATTTATTTTCACAACATGCTATGTAAACTAAAACCACACAATGTTAACTTGCAAAAAAGCAGTGGATGGCTGTTACGCTCGTAAAACTAGTGAAGAATCTTTTTAATATGCTTTTCTAATGATAAAAAAATTAAATAATGTGCACATTAGTGCATTATATAAATATTTAACAGATTGCTTTTTCATAGAAGTAGAAGGATTTTAAATAAATCTCCTCTAAAAAAGTAAGATTAAGTTCTCAACATTCAGGATTTACATAATAGAATTCAGAATTATTTACCATTCTCATTTTGCATATTTTAGATTTGTTTTATTATAATAAACAGCCAAAGTTCAATAAATAAATTAACAGTTTGACCACTTTTAAGTTGGTAAGTAAAACAATCTAAGGTTTTTCCTGGGGTTTGCCTGAGATGTAAACACTAATGTAGGGTTTCAAGGGAGAAAGTATTTTTTTCCAAAATACACAAAGCAGGTACACTTCAAAATGTAATCCCAAACAGATCTAAATATGTACTACAATCAACACAATATTAGTGTTTAAAAGTAGTGATGGTTCCAGAGAGGCGGTGCGGTGAACTGACCACAGCTTCACACGAGATTCTGAGGCTGTTTCTACACTTTCTACTCCTCCAGAAAAAAGAATCGCCTAAACACACCAATTCCAGTGTGGTTTTATAAACACGGGGATCAAGTAAAAATCCACCTACAGCCTCTCCAGTCACCACATCTGTCACATCTGCACATCAGTTAATCTTTACAGGAAGTTCTGCAGCGGAGAAGGATTTCCACTTCCTTTATCCCTAAAAACACACTGGCTCTCAATGGAACCAGCCAGTATGGCACTATGGTTAAATATGTGACAGCAACCAAATAAAAAAACTAATAATAAAACCCATTTACATATAACAAGATCTCTCTTCTTTGAAGAAATATAAAGTTATATCTGGGTTTTGAAAAAGTTAAATATCGATCCCAGGACATGTATCAATCAGAATACTTTATTTAGCCTGGGTGAAATTAGGTCTTGTGGAAGTTTTCACAATACACAATGAAAAAATACATTTATAAATAAAGGATAACAAATAGAATTAAACAAATATTAAGTAAAAATGTGCAATTCAAAGAAAGAAAAGAGTAGAATAAATGTAAATGGTCTGATCTACATGATTTATATCTGTTATCAGGTGATACTGTGCATGCTCAGATGGGTTACCTACATGCCCCTTATCGTCCATCTCGTTGTTGGTGAGTTTGACCCGGTCGAAGCTGATCACCTGACGCATCCACGTCTCTCCCGCGCACGGGGAGTCCGGGTGCACGTAGAGCCGCGGGGAGATGCAGGAGTGGTCCGTGTTCCCCGCCACCATCCACTGCGAGCTGTGGTACACATACCTGCCCGGATACATGCGTGTTAGTACGTAAACCAGAGACACTGAGGGAGTTCAGGTAATAAAATACACACCTGTAGCGTTTGGAATCCACGGGCATGACGTCCATCGCGATGTAGTACTGCTGGCTCGGGTCAAGGTTGCGCACTTTGACGCGCACAGAGGGGAACATTCTCCTAACGCGAGAAGAGGAAATCATTTTTTTAAATTTATTGAATATTTTCTACTCAAGAGGATATTTAGCCGTCTTGTATTTTACATTCTCACACAAACAGATCAGATACTTTAGGAAAAGGACCTCTCGGCCAAGTTCAGAGGAGAGCTCAGAGTCCTCGAGGGGCCATGAGGACACATTCATGCGGAGATTTATAGCGCGTGTTCCCCGTAATAGAATAAACGGAACATAGATTTCAGCAGGTATAGTTATGTCCCTATAATTCATACATGGAAGAGGTAAAAAAAAAAAAACCTATCAAATACATTTCTTTAAACTGAAACATATAGAACATCTGTCACAGTTGCATAATATAATTGATAGTTATGGATCCTTATTTAAAAAATAAATAAATGTGTCCATGACGACGAGAAATGTGCGTTTAATTTAATCCAATACAATTTAATAATTCACAAAACCTATAAATCTACCTCACATGTTAGGCTATAATGGGCACTATTTTTTTTTCTATTCTAAAATATTAGCTTTTTATAGACCATGAGATTATAAATTGCTTGTATTTATACAAATGAAAACGGTTGCAGGATAACATAGCTATAACACCAGAACTGGTGATAAGCCTTTATTTATTTTTGTATTAAGATGCTGACTTCTGATTGGCTGTTCACAGCCGTTCTCGAAGTGATCGCGGAAAAGTTCATGTAAATGTTATAATATGCATCTTATCACTGATAATGACCTATCATGCTTGTATTGCATGTAACTGACTTGAACACGGAAACTAAAATGAAATAAGATAATTTTGATAACGTTTGATATTAAAATACTTTTATTTAAATAAGGTCATCTCCGTTTAAAAAGTAAGGGCCTGGAAGCCAGTTCTTACTGTATGTTATTAAAGTTAATTTGGATTCGTTTTCGTATCATATTGAACGAAACTATCGAACATTTTAATAGTAAAAGACCCAACACTAAATCTCATTAAATTATATATTACTTTTGTGTAGTTTTTAAATTTAAAAGTATAAATAAATAGACCTAGAAAATGTCTCTTCCCACGACCCCGGGTATATAAGCCAAATACGTTTGAAAGTGTTGCAGGATAGAATAAGGCACCTGAAGGCCACTGTTTACAGCAAAACACCATACTGGTCTTTCTCATCCAGATGTTGTACCTGCCAGCTTTGGTGATGATCATCTCGGTTCCGATCTCATAGAACCTCTTCCACAGCTCGGAGCCCTGCAGCTCCACTCGGACCTCTCTGTCCGGGAGGAGGTCGCTCTCCTTGGGCTTGCTCTCCTCTACACCGGGGTCAGCCTCCTCGGCCCCGGACCTGACAGGCTGTCTCTCCGGGTCACAGGAAGTATCTTCTGCCCTCCTCGGAGTTGATGAACCGGCTTTCTTCATCTGACTGACAGGATATTCGTTCAGGCCTATAAAAAGGGGCAAAGACTAGGATGAGTGAGGAGAGAAAAAAAGCCTATTGAGGCTGTGTTTTCTAAAATAATTTAGAAGTCAACTTAAATGTTAACAGTTTTCCTATTTATTAGAAAAAGCTGAAACTAATAGTCCTTTAAAGTGACAGACCGTGGCTTCATTTGACAAGAAGAAGAAAGAAGAGTATTAGCAAAAAATGGCCCCTCTCGATAAACAATGCTGACACAATCAAGGAATACATGTATATATAAAATTAAATTGTCAGAGTGTAATCAACGGATGTGTCTGAAGCAAAGTAACAAAGATTGTGTTATCGTTCCATTCTGTGCGTAAAATGCGTAAAGGTGTTCGAAAAATCCGGCAGTCCTTGGCTCACCGGTGAAGGTGCTCGTCTCGCTGCCGGTGTCTGCAGCTGAACTTGACTCATCCGATACTTTCATCCTCTTGCAGGGTTTCCCGACCAGCGCCTCCACAGAGAACGCGTGAGCCCGGGAACTCAGACCCTGCATCTTGGCGAAAGATCCCGTCTTTCTGCGACTCGTATATCCGTCTGATCTGTGATTGTGTTCCGCACAAGTTTCAGAGTCCCAGCGCATTCAGGACGGGGTAGAACAAGCAGCAGCAGCACCTCAGGGAGCCCCTCTTCTCTCACGGCGGCTCTGTGACGCTGCGTAATTGATCCGGTGCCTTCCCGTGTTCTCCGAGACGCGCGCCTTCATCCAAAATCCTTGATTATTGGAACGCCTCTCCTCCTCCCTACAATATTTCCCCTTCTCCCCCCTTAATCCGTTTTTGTGTCTCCCCTTTCCTCTCTGCCTCACAGAGGGCTTGTTCCTCTGGTTCCCCTCTGCGCGTCACAGAGAGGGAGGGAAGAGCGCAGCGTGCACTCCTCATGGGCCTGCGCTACAAAAAACATACATCCTAATGCTTATCCCGGCCTAAAACAATACTGTTGTCTCAACATTAGAGTTAAATGTTAGTGAAAAAGTGAAAAAATAAACAAATGTCCTCTTAAAATAAATCAATTTTTGGAAATGTCACCACCTTGAAACACCTGTTGATCACTTTATCAGTATCAACAGGTGGCAAATAAAGTCAATGTGCAACGTTACATTTAAATTGTCCAATCGATTATTATTTTCCCACTACAGTTTAAGAAAAAAAAACGACACTCAGTAAATACTTTTTCCAGTGTTCATTGGAGTCAGTGGCATTTGAGCTTCCAATACAAGCAGCAGCATATTTACGCACGGTGCCACTGGTAAAACAGTTATGGCTGAATGGTAAAAATCGGGCTTTTTCCCTTAGATTTATTGAATTATGTAGCCTGATATAATACAGATTTAGTGGATTCCAAATTTGAAATGTGACAATAGATGGCCGAAAAAATAGCCATATATTATTGAGGAAACAGCATAAACATAGGATCTAAGCTTCCAATGTGATCAAAATTTCATTTTTTTCTGATTGACTTCCGTGTTGTCCATATTGCTTCCCTTAAACATCCGATGGATAAATAGATTGAGCATTGAGCAGTGCCGGAGGGGGACCCGAGGCACACATATTTAAGTAGGCTATTTTAATTCAAACCATCTGGAAGGTGAAATATCTCCCTGAAACTGGCTGCATTTCTGTTGAAGCTAACATTTCTTATTTTAATTTGAAGGCTTTTCCTAAAGTGGTCTCTTGTCTCCCGTTCCTCCGGTATAAAAGTGTTTTCTTTTTTTCTTTTTGCGGTTCCCGGTGAGAGTTTGGTCTGGTTCTCATAAGGGCGGAGATCAGATGGAGTTCGGCGCACTGGGGGGAAAACTAGGCCGTAATGACAGCTCGGGATTATTACATTACTGCTCGACATGAAATAGATCCGCTTTACACAAATAAAAGTCAGCGAAGGCTCTATTTAAAATGTTTTTTAATCACATGATATAATTGCTGTGAGGAGAAAACAAATGAGGGCTGTGTTTACGACACGGTTGGTTTGCTTGCTGATGGAAATCTCTGACAACAGCCGGGAAATGGAGAACTATGACCAACCGGAATCTCATGCTCTCTGTCATCATAACCTGTTTCAGAACTGTGGCCTGGATTTATGTTTATTATTTTCCTAACTTGTCGTTTTTCTCCCAAAACCGGAACAAAAAACTGCTAAACACGCGGCCTAACAGGAAAGAGTGCAACAGAAATAACTGTCCGTGCGCACAGGCCCGAATAAAAACACGTCGATAGAAATAGTTGATGACATGTGTTCCCACAAATCTGAGAGATTATTTTTCCATGTTGTCTTCAACAGTCAACTCATAAATCTTCGTCACGGGATTATGGGATGTCAGCCCAGTGATGGCTGGCGTGTAGGCAAGTGACGCCTGGCGCTGCTGCACACAACAGGAAACTGCTGCTGGATTGTTTTTATGATGCTTAATCCAGCGCAAATCTGCAAGTGTCCCGTTCCGGGGATGTTTGGCACACGTGTTTCCTCTCATTAGGCACAAAAGCGGAAACGAGAGATTCAAATCCAATTTGGCACAAGCCCGCACAAGCCTCAGGTTACCATTAATGCGGAAGTTTGATGATCAGTCTGCAATGAGCCTTTCCGATCATTTTGCGCCTTCAGGGCCGCTAGCATGCTGTTGATTTGCGTGTCCATGGACTAATTATTAATAATTTGTGGGTAATTGGGTTGCAATGAAACGTTGGGGCCTTCATGTGCAACCACAGAGTGCAACACATTCATCGTTAAGGAACCTAACACTTTGGTTGGATAAAGGGGAATGTTGCTGTTTAAAAATATGGCTTTTATCGACTAAACTGTATATTGCATTTTCAATACAAATTCTTCGTTTATGACTTGATGACTGACACTTTTGAGTGTGTGTGGCTGGTTCCCAAAGAGTAATCAGGTCCAGCCGAAAACTCATTCATGGTAGGCGTCTGTCTGTACTGTATGTGTGCACATGCTCACAAGTTATTGTGTGTGTGTGTGTGTGTAAACAGGCCTGTCTGTCTGTTGCTGAGTGGATGTGACGGGGCCTCCTGATGGTTTGTTTTAAGTTGAATCCTGATGCCGAGCAGTGTGTGTGTGTGTGTGTGTGTGTGTGTGTGTGTGTGTGTGTGTGTGTGTGTGTGTGTGTGTGTGTGTGTGTGTGTGTGTGTGTGTAACAGTTATTCTGGGCATGGTCTGCTGAAGCGGATGCCCACGCACTGCCAAACGTCAAACTTGCACCACCCGTCCGCCGTGACACGTTTGAGTGTTTGAGTACAGAACGCTGTAAACACTTAGTGTGTTGTGGTACTAATGGGATGTGAGTTATCCGTATTGGACATGAACAGAGGCTCACCTGGAGAACACACTCTTACATACTGGGACAATGACGTGCTAATTGTTTCCAACACCGGTTACATAAATGCACTCTTGGATTTGAAGTAGCTTACTGGCTGTTTTGTTTTTACTCCTGTTGAATGCTTTTATTTCTGCTTTCACTTTGAGCTGTAAGAAAGGACAACAACATGGGTTTTACAACATGAGTGATTACAAAGTGACAAATTCCAGCGACCCTGACATGTCA